CTGCTTTCATTTGCTAGAACTGTTTCCCACTAACAGACTGTATTTTACTTACGGAAGTCCACACCAGCTCGTGAGCCTTGGAACCATGTGCTCACCCTTGCGCCACTGGCCACGCACTCCACGACACAGCGGCAGCCTCCTGCCCCCTCTCTCTCTGGCTTCTCAATCCCTGCCTAACTGTTGGCCTTATTCTAACCTCAGCAGCCTCCCGGACACTGTTTCTGGCTTGTTCTATCTGAATCCCCCCCCCCTTTTTTTCTCTCTCTCTCTTCTTCAAAAAATCTGTACCCTTTCCCCTTCTCTTTTCCAACCATTCAGTTTATTTTCTGTTCCTTATGGCACTCCATAGAGACATTTGCAAATACAACTGTATACTGAAAAAGTGCCACGAGCCTTCCCAGAGGCCTGAAATGCTCACACAAGCCCCAGGCAACAATTCTGTGGTCTACAGTGACCACATACCTCAGTGGTGACCCCTCTGCCTTAAGATGGCCCGTGGTGTGCAAACACCATTCATCCGGGGCAGAGGCCTGGAGCCCTGGGCCTCTGCAGATGAAGGCGCAGGCCTACGTAAAGAAGATGCAGCTTAACTTCACCCATGAGATAAGTGCGATCTGAAAATACTCCTATAATACACTACAAATACTTACCAGACTTGCAAAGATTATGGAAAGAGACAGGAGGAAGGGAAGAGGAAGAAGAGGATCAATTCTGGTGACACAGGTGAGAAACTACCCTCGCTGTTTGTGGCAGGACGATACTCTGGAGCAGCCCTTATGGGGCTGCAAACAGGATCCTGTTATGTAGTTCAGGCTAGCTCTGAACTCACTATGTAGCCCAAGCTGGCCTTAAACTCACGACAATCATCTTGCCTCAGCCTCCCCAGTGCTGGGGTTACCACTCATATTCCCCATCAGGATAATCAATGCTGGTCCAAAATTCAAACAACACTAGGCATGGTAGTGCATACCTGTAATCCCAGCACTAAGGAGGATCAATGGGAGTTAGAGGCCAGCCTGGACTATGAGCGAGTTCAAGGCCAGCTTGAATTGTAGTGAGACCCTGTCTCAAAAAGAACTTAAAAACTCAACATGGAGCTTCATATTAGCAACGTTTTAGCAATGTAAAACCCCACTGGCCAAGGCAGCACAGACTATTTAAGAGACAAGAAGCCAACTAATGACCTGTGAACTGCCCAACAGCTAGGGCTACCTCCAGTGCTGAGACAATGGCATCAGGGTATTTTAGCTGGAGAATAGTATCACTTTCCTAGAACAATCTCCTCTTGCTCCAATCCCATGGCTGGCAAGTTCAGTTTAGGCTGTGACTTCAACAGGCATCTATCTGTCTAGCATGAGTTAGTCTTAGAGCCACTGGCAAGCCAAACTGTGCACGTAAGTAATTCCAGGCTTTAAAACTATTCAAAGTACATATCTGGTCTTGGCATTGAGATACACATACAGACACAGACACAGACACACACACACACACAAGCACAAACCAAGTCTTCAACACTGAGAGTCAGGTCCTGGCTGCCTAGAGACCCATCACGTAACACAGTACTTTCGGTGAGGCACTTTAGGAAGCAGCCCCCTGGCCTCCCCCATGACAGCACTTCAGGTCAGTAACTAGCACAACTGCAAAGACAGTTTCTGTGTCTGACGTTTCCACTTCTCTCTTTATTACATTATTGTTTCCTTTCCCAAAGGGAAAGATCATGAGTACTTTGAAGGATACAGCAGTTGTTCAGATACTCGGCACAGTCATTGGGACACTGTAATAAACACTCAAAAAAAGTCTGACAAAACTTTAATGAAACAAATGGACAAATATATACTACCTTTACTTACAAGCCAACCCAAATACCATTTCCTAATCACTATAAAATAACTAGGAAATAGTAATTTTTATATTCCGCCTACCGCATTCTCCTTGGGATAACTGGGAAGGCCTTATCTCCTTGGGATAACTGCAAGGCCTTGGGATAACTGTAAATATCACCTCATATTTACAGTTTAGATGGCAATTTTATAACATACCAGCACATTTACATGGGAATCTATCTCTGCCTGCTCATCTGTTCGTTTTATTTTAGGCCTTATTATTAACACTTTCCTGTTTGAACCACCTGTGGTACATGTATGACTGTTCCATGGGGGGCGGGGGGGCGAATCTCGTCACTTTTATCTGTCGGTTCAATTAATAAAAAGCCTCCCATGGGACAGGCATACACATAAGTACTGGTAGTTCAAGCTGCCTGGCAGCAAGACAAACAAGTTATGACCCATCACAAATATATTAAAACATGCTACAAGTACTTGGATAAATTTATCTCCCAAATGTGTCACAATGTAGAATTCTTAAAAACAAAACACAGAGGAAACTCCACACATTATACAAAGTTAACATGTACCTTACATCACCTCATATTTACAGTTTAGATGGCAATTTTATAACATACCAGCACATTTACATGGGAATCTATCTCTGCCTGCTCATCTGTTCGTTTTATTTTATGTATTTGGTACAGGATCTTACTACACAGCTCAGACTTGCACCACCATGCCTAGACTCAGTGGATAGCTCAATACACCCCAGGGGCAGGGCTAGCCTAGCATGCAGGACCAGGGATTGAACCCTTGGTCTGATTTTTTTGATTTATTTTTTATTTATTGGTCTGTATTTTAGGGAAGGGTCTACAGGGTGTTCAGAGTCTCACTACTATAATGGACTAATGATTCTCCAGTTCACAGCCTCCCAAGTGCTGGGATCACAGGCGTGCCACCACGCCCAGTCTTAATCACCAGTCTCAGCACATCAGGCAGGCCTGGGGATCGAACCCCTGGCCCTTGCACCTGCTTGCAGGCACTTTAATCCGCTGAGCTATTTGGCCAGCCCTTGATTTTTTAGAACCAGGCAAACTTTACTTTTCTGAGACAAGGTCTCACTGTGAAGTCCAGGCTGGCCTTGAACTCACTATGTAGCCCAGCCTAGCCTGGAACTTGTGGCAATCCTCCTGTCTTACCCTCCTGAGTACTAGGATTAGAGCTGTGTACCACCACATCCGGCTTAAAATTTTCTAAGAACTAAGAAACAATCAAAACAGAAAACTGGGCCAGGGAGATGGCAGTGGAATAAGCACTTCCCTGGCAAGCACAGGGGCCTGAGTTCAATCCTCGGTTCCGCCAAAAAAAAAAAAAAAA